CCCGCGTTTGGAAAGGTCGCGTCGGAAAGTCCAGAAACTAAAGGCGTGCATGTCCTTTTCGAGTGACCTTTCTTCTTCGGGGAAAAGCCTCGTTGGGACTGGCATACACGCGGAAAGTTTAGCGTCGACCGTTGACCTGGACTTCCCGAATTATTCAGGAAGAAGACCCCGGGGCTACGCCCGGCCCCCAGAGATATTGGAGTTGTTTCGTGAACGACGAAAGTTCGGATCTACAGTCCCGAAACGCGCGGGATACTTAATTCACGAGACTTCTCTTTGTCGCTTGCGCCCCCGTCGAGTCTCGTTACATTCGACCTATCCCTGAAATTCGATTAAATCGAACCCACGACCAAATTTAAGACCCAATACAAACACGTTAATGTTATTCCGAGGAACGTTGTGAAAAAGTATGATGATCCTTTCGACGAGATCTTATTATCAGGCGAAACGGAGTACGATAATGAATACTTCACGCTTGCTTCGCGTGCACGCAGAGTATAGGTGGCAATTAAGGGCAATGCAAACTGCTAAAGGGACAATAGTCGGCTGCGTCAAAGAAACATGCGGTTCTTATTAATTCATGCTCGTACCCTCTAAAAGCGGTTCTCGATCGTTTAGGCAAACTCCTCTGTTGCGAGTGCATCGTTGATTATTACGCTTAAAGGCTAGAGAAACCGATAAGAATTTGAATACTCTCTGGTATTACAAAGTTGCAAGAGAAATAGAATGACAGATATTAGCAACAGGAAAAGTAAGATAAGGCGTAATTACTAGAAACTGATGTAACAGACTAATTGGAAAGATAAGTTAAGAAAGATAAGTTATACTATGAAATATACGTACAGATAAGTTAATGGAAATAAATGGGAGGCAGAGTCGCTAGGAAGATTCTGTTAAAGAGAATAAAGCTTCGAGGTTCTTTCTAGAAAAAATTCACCCTGCACTTTTATACGAAAAACGAAAAAAAGGGTATCACAAACTTCTCGAAATAAACCGAGACAGTTGTCTTTCGTTCTTCCTAAGAAACATGTCCCCCAAAGCAAACATCGTGTCGCTCCACTTTCATAAACAGTCGCGATCAAATATTGCCCACAGAAAAGGATCTCGTTCGTGCAACGGGTATCGGAGTCAAACATATTTTTCTAGATCCCGAGATCAAAGCGTTTCCATGCAATATTCGGTACCATTTTCCTCCGTGGTAAAGTTCAACGTGCAGGGAAACAGTAATTTCTCCTCGTCGAACAAGAAAGACCGTGCAATGACAAATTCGGATCCCATTTTTTCAAACAAGGTTTAGCAAATAAGATCCACGCTCTATTTTTAATCTGAATTTCAACCAGGGGCGATCTCTCGAACTGTAATTATTCAGAGTATGCAATTAGTAATTTGTTAGGCTTTCAGGTTGATGGAGACGTTATTTTAGGGATATTTGGACGTTTTGGTGACAAATTAGTCGACTAAATCGGAGTTTTACCGTAACTTGTAGCGGATTGGGGTGGCTCGAGCGCCGGACCTGTACACAGCCGGGCAGAACGAATCTGCGCAAGGACTGCTGGCTGCGTATTAACTTATGGAACAGAAATAACAGAGCTTTCCCCCCCAAGGAGAGCCAAAATAACCCACGGAACACGGGATTGTCCGTGACGTACGGAGCCCGTTACTTGAGAGAGCTCTTCCCAACTTGGGAATTCCGAGTCGACGCGTATTCGCAGACGTCCATTTGTTTCTCGACACGACGACGTTATTTATTTCGACGTACGCTAACCCTCTCTGTTCTTCGTATCGCCTGTCGCGCGGAAACAGAAGTCGACAGGGACCGTTCGAGAAACGGTCCACAGGAGATCCGGTAAGGAACGGAGACGAAGGATGGATCTTCGCCGCTTTGAAGCGCGATTAGCCTTGACAGACGGTTCTTACGGTGGAAACGCGGCCTCGACTAATCGTTTTAAATGGCTTTGAATCGCTTAGGTTATCAAGGGGTTCCCAAAGGCATCCATTGGGCGCGTTGCACTCGTCCGCGTTGAATCTTACATAAAGCTTTTCGAATATTTTACAAGTCCTTCCAGAGTAACATCTTGGATTTAAAACACTTTTCGACTGCTAAAGAATTTAACTAATTTTACTAAAATACCTTCCCTTTCTCGGTCTCTAATGTTGTTCCGCTTTGCGCAAGCGTCTCGACGCGATTAGAAACTATTATGTAAAATTTAATTCCATATCTGGAATCGAGCCAAAACTCGCCAGGAACGGGGAGGAAAGAAGAAAATGGAAGAAATGGCTCGTCGAATATTTTCACGACTTCCCAGACGAGTGTTAATTACGATTTCTATCGAGAGCAAGGCCATCCGGAGGTTTTCTCTTCGATTCGAGCATCTCGAGGATTTCCTTTTGTTTCGTTTACGACGTGGGTCTCGTACGTCGAGACCGAGCACAGATGGGACACAGCTCACCGGAATATTACGAAACGAAATGATTGTGAAGAGTATGCAAGAAGTTGAGCACCAGAACGTGGAAGACATTGTTGAAAAAAGAACGACTAACCACGGTAGGGAATTAATAATGAATTAATAAATTATTGAACGTGGCGGCGGACCAAAGGACCAACCACTGGCGGGCTCGAGTGGGTCCAAGCCTCTGGCACGATAAGGCACGTGAAATTAATCGCGTTTCGTGTCGCACCCTTTTCCTAGTTCCTTTAAAATTTTTATTTCCCTCCCGCAAGCTCGATGGTTAATCTTGTGTTCGCCGCGAGCGTGACCCGGTCTGAATTTTAAATCTGACGTATTACACGCGTAGCCGGTGTACAGAGTCGGAAGGACGACATCTACATAGAGGCAAGAATTAGCATAAGCCATTGTCCTGCCAGCCGACTGGCCAGGAGAATGGTATCTGAAAGCTCGCTACAATAACCCTTTATAAACCGCAGGTGGAGTACTGTTATAACCGTAAATCGGATCGAAAACGTATCGCGTTCTCGTGATTCTATTCGGCCCATTCCTGAAATTACGACCTACCAATTAAACGATTATTATCGAGGGCCAGATATTACCCACATTCAATTACATCTGGACGTCTTGATAATACGCTCCGAGCACGATAATCGTACCCGGACGGAAATCGATTTACGCGACGATTATTCGAAAAGGTTATTTTCGAGCCAGTTTTCGGGATTTACAATATCACGCGTTTCTTATTAACGATTGAACTTTCCAATCTCGTACGAGTGTGTTCAAAAAAAGAAATTGTCGACCGTCGAAGCTTGAAAAATGGCTTCCTTCGAGGTTTTTCTCGAGCACCAAATATTTGAAGCTACAAACGCAGGATACTCGGTTATCAGGCTTCATATTTTTCTTCTGGAAAATAAGAGAACCGTACGATGGTTCGGAGAAATAGAACTTCTACTCGTCCACCCGTCCCCGGAGCATCGATTCGTAGAAAAGAAACAAACACTGGACTTCCGGCGACATTTCCTAACTCGCGTCTATATAATACCGAGTGATTCACGCACCGAGAGGGAAAATAACAACGATTTTATCTCCATCGCGTCCCGTTCGTGGCGTATCGTTGATTAAAGGCGACGATCTTTTTTACGGTTTAGCAAAAAGAGGAAAAATCGGTCGACACATGACGCAACGCGAGCAACGCCACGGTGTTTTGACAAATGACGAACAGCTTGGGGGAGAGGCACGCACATGTCTCTGCGTGGTCTCCGCGCGTCTCGAGGAACTCACCAGTGGGTCTACCCTCTTCGACGTATATGCGAATTGTGTGTCAGGAGGATCGTAAAAATCCCAGAAAGCCTCCGGAGGGATTTTTCGGTGGAATTTTCACACGAGCCGGTCCCGGGGAAACTGGACCCGTCGCGTTCAATTAAATTTCAACGGAAACACGTGAACCTACTTTGCGCTTTCAACTCGGGATCTATTCTCTGGGAACCGGAGGCAACGTTGCTTTTAATTTGTTGACATCCAGATCCGTCCAATGCAGAGGTTCGTTGGACCGTTTGAGATAATAGTCACGCGTTAAATTCGCGGATAATAATCAATTTTCTAAACCATGGAGTGTGTAAATGTAAATTTTTTATTAGACAGAAAATTACGCTGTCCTTGTATAAATGACGTCTGAAATTTCTATAAAACGGATCTTATTCAATCGAGATAACTAACGAACAATTTTGATGTATTTTGACAATAATTACTCTACATCTGGAACAAATATCCTAGTAATTGTGTAAATATTAAGCTTTTGGAGTATAACTGTACAATGACTCTTTATGATTGAATAAACAAGTGAAAAGATAATTGCTGGGAAACAGGTATAAAGGTTCCCTAGACAGTTTTTGATGGTGCCATAAATTTCTGCTTTACAGAACGCCAGGCTGATAATATAATTTGAATGGCGAGGATGTTAATGAGCGTATTTGTATAAGACAATACCGCGAGTAAGTAAATAGTCAAACAAATATTATGAAACGGTGAACAAACTTTGCCTCGAAGTATGTAAACATTCAGGCGCGTAAGAAAGAATTCACTTTCGCTTATCGACGTACCGATCTACGCGTCTCGACGAAGCAGAGCGATCGAACGAGATCGAAGAACCGGCGAATGATGCGGACAAACGCGGCTCCGAAATTATGTCACAATTGTGCACCGCGTATATGGCGTAACACAGTCGGATAAGCGGCGTAATGAGGACGATAAAAATGCGTCAACCGGTTATTTTTAGAGGTTTTACGAGTTTCGTCATTAATAGATTGTCGAACGGATCTCTCATAGAAATCGAAGCCGAAATCTTCAATGGGGGATACATCGAGCGATTCGACGAGACCATCGTCGTGAAACGATACAAATTGTTCCGTTACGAGCAATTAATGGACGAGCTCGTTGGAATAAAATGTGGAACGCGTTCGCCAGCAACAAGTCCCTAAACGAGTCTGTGAAAATTGTTTCGTTCGCGATATCGAGTGGTAACGGGTTGAGATAAATAATAGTTTCACTAACCACGTGCTCCTGGCGGCCGTCATTCCCGTTGAGGATGACCCCGGACGACGACGGAAACCGGAAAACCCCTCTCGACACTGTCGTAAGAACCGAAGAAACAACGCGCACCACCTCCGCGGTCGGGAGTCGGCCACTGACTGAACGTGACTCTGATTCTCTGGAACCGGGAGGAGGCTGCGTCGACCGGTCAGGGACCACGAGCCTGCGGCCTTCTGACACTCAAGTCACCGTCAATTTCTCCCCTACCCCTCTCTTTTACCGCTCTTCCTCTTTCGCTGGCCGTTGCGTTTCGTTTGCACTCTTTTTTCTTCAGAAACAGACGGTACCGTCTTTGCTAGGGAATTTCATTCCCCGTCCGTTTACCTTTCCTTTCGTTTTCGAGCCAATAGCCGCCGTAACTTCGAGCATTCGTGATAACGCGACGACTATCGGTCGACGAGACGTTTTCTAAATAGGCGAAGTTAACGTGAAAGCAAGAGAGAAGACCGATGGCTCTTGTCAACGTCGAATATAACTTTTTTCACGTTTTTGCGTTTTTGCGTGCCTGTTAGCAGTGAAAAATCATGGTAATAACACGACGCCCTGGAGCACCTGTCCACCATTTTGCCCTCCTCTGTCACCGAGGCGAAACTTTTATATTTTCCAATGTATCTACGCAACGCGAGACGAGATCAAACACGAAAATATTCTGTATAACTCAAATCGTCGTTAGTAAATTCTGAAAAAAATAGTGCCTCGCTGTTCGCGATGGAATCGTACCCGCGGCTGTGTACGTTTCCGTCGACTCGAATGGTCGCCAGCTGTCCAATTGAAAACCCACTCGAGCTGGCCATTTAAGTTCAACCAATTTCGAGAACTCGCCCGAATCTCTGCACTTGAAATCCAACGGTACAGATAAATTCCGAAGGCTCGCCTTTGCCAAGCAATCTTTGTTGATACAAGAGTTAATTTTGTCTTGTCAACCTTGAACTAGTGTATTCACAACCAACCATTCTGTTTGCATTTAATTAGCTACAAGGAGACTATGTCAAAACGCTCGCTAAGTATGAACGTAAATTTCGAATTCCACGTTGATTAAATCTATCGATTGCTCGACGCGAGTTGCAACTAGTCCCTTCGAATGCTTTAACTTCGTTCGACTGGATTTTCTTCCGCAAACTATCGAGTCGAGGATCGAGTGGTAGATTAATTTCGTAGCGACAATTCTAAACACCGGAAGGAATATAATAGTTGACACACTTTGGCAAGCATTCGCCGACGAATTCCGAACAACAGCCGTAAATTCTGGAGGCTCATTCATCCATTCATTCGCTCGACGGCGAGCACTCAGCAACTCGACTACTGCAACCCCGAAACTTTGTACCCTAAATTTACATTAGAGGGGATGCAGCAGAATATCAATCGTTCGTTAATTTTCACGTTGCAATATTTATCGAGAACACTCGAGCAGTTGTTGCGTTCGTAATATAGCAAACACAATTTTGGTAATTTCTATGTACAACTCCCCGGTTACAAAATGACGACTTTGTGTTGGGGAAAACGTTGACAAAATCTACGATTTAGATAGTTCTTTTCAGACCACACACGGTGCGTCGAGGAAGAACGAGGTTTGAAGAAGTTTGTGCACACGCAATACGCTTCTTGACCCAGTGTGCATTGCGACGCGCATTCAAGGACGGGCATAACCCGACAGGAAGACCAATGGGTTCTGGAAATTCATTCAGCCGCTCATTCACTCGCTCGCGGACATCTTAATGAAAAGTGAGCCGGCGATTTACGAGCGATCGCTCGATGCTCAACCGGCACCGCGTGGTAACGGTCGATGAATAATGTAAAGCGCGTACCCGGGGATGGCCCCTTAATAGTAACGAGCGACATTATTCCGCGCGACGGAATACGCGAGCTGAAGAAAAGAGAAAGAGAGAGTGAACAACTCCACGTCGCGAAACAATCGTCCGTTCATCGATTCATTAATCCATTCGCGATTTAGTTAGAGGGCAATCACAGAAGTATAACACATTTTAAATCGTGCAAAGGAAGTAAACATACTTTTGCACATTTCGTTGCTTCCAACCGAGGCTACCGAATCCGCCCCTAGCAAGGCTATTAGGCAGACCTTCATTAATATTTTCCAAAGTAGGGGGCAGAACCGCGATAACGTATGAGCAAAAGGGGCACGTGCCTTTGGGCGTTGTTTTACGGGGACGCAGACTGACAATTATCGTTCATTCTCACCCAACCAGTGCCTCGATTTCTAAATTTTATTTTAAGAACATGATACGAGTACGATCCTCGAGTTTAACATTGATTTATCAGTGCAAAAACAGCAGAAATAAGTTAACTTTGAAAAGTGTGAAAATCTAGTCTGCACGGTGGGCGTGGAGGATAAACTGTTTAGGATAGTAATCGTTTGTTCATGAAACATGTTATATTTATACACAGTAGAGATATAAAAAAACTTTGCCTCATCTCCCAGATCAAGCTGTTTGGAATTCGTTTGCCTCTAATACGAGCTCTCTCGTCACGAAACATGCCCCGAGGACACCGATTATAGTTGAATTTTAATCTATATGAAATTACTGGAATTAACAGGATTAATTTTTAAATTCTTCAATTTATCAAACATATTCTAGCGCACGGAAAACGGAAGAAGAGTTTTCTCAGCCACAAAAGGGAGAAAACAGCACAAGCGGCGAACCAGTTAATTCTCATGGGGCATTTTTTGCGTTACTGGGGCTCGTTTGCGTGAACCACGACCACCCTCGCGTTCCTCGCTCGACCTTTTCCGATTATTAGTAGGAACCTTTTCTCGATTGCAGGTGAGGGGGGAGAGGAAAGTTCGTGCGCGCGGAGCGTTCCACGAACGCCAGCGACGATCCCGAGGATCTCGAAGCGGCGGCTGGAAGTTTTAACGATAAGATTTAATGGCGACGGAGCCACGAACTCTCTGGACCGGCTGTAAATCGTTTTAACAACTATGAACACACCGACGAATTGTTCTTCGTGATTCTTCTCCAAACCCCCCCGTCGCCCTTCCTTTTTCTCTATGCCGTCGTCTCTTCCTCGTCGGGTAGTTTCGAGTCGCTCGGGGTGTTTCACCGTCCGAGAACTCGATTTCGCGCTTCGTCGTAACCACTTTAAGTTCGTCGCGTAGTATCTTTGAATCTTGGCCCGATGGCCTCGCGAACAATTGTTGGATCCTTGTCGCGAGACGGATATCCCATCATTTTTGTCGCGTTCATTTTCGAGGCGCGATTAATTCTCGAAACTTTTAAAATCAGTGTTGGATCTGGAGGAGTTTGAGGACCCTGAGAGAAGAAGCTAATAAAAACCGAGAGAAATTTGAGATATCGAGAATATCGAAGAATCTCACACCCTATAAATTATAAATAAAACTGAAAATATTAAAATTGAAGAAAGACAAATTTAATGCCCAGAAAAATTATAAAAATTGATCATTGACGTTTCTCCATTATGAGATATAACAGATTTGTGTCAATTAGTCAATATCGTAAGTCTGTTAATAGATATCTAATGAAATTCGAAGCGATTATTTACCGATGACTTTCATTGTTGGGATACTGTCCCAGTTATTAGCAAATGATAGAAGCGACAACTAATTCAAATGCACTCTAATTATCCGAAATTGTCGGCCCTCTCGTCGGTCCATATTATAACAAAATTTCTATGTAATTTACTGTTCGGCCCAATTTATTGCAGAATAACACGCGCGTTTTCGGTATAATAAATTTATTAATACGTGCTGCGATTGCAAGCAAATTTTGACTCGCAGAAATTTACCACTTGCTGATGCCCCCGTGCGGTTTAATAGCAGCTCGAGTTTAATTTCTATTTGAAACAAAAGCTAATCTCGATCGAAATTGTGAAATTGAATCCTCGCGTTAGAATACGGATCTATTTTACGCAGCTATTTTAAATTCATCCCACAGACTAGGAACTACAAAATTTGGAAACCAAAAGAAAATAAAAAAATTCACTGTCTACGTCGTACAGCTCGATGCTTCAAATTTTTTACCGAAAATCTCATGCTAGTTTCAACGAAAGGTTAATCCAAGTAGATCCTCTTCGACATACAAGCGATCCAAAACAAAGGATCTCGAGTTACGCGGACTACATACATCCTTATGCATTTATATATCGAACAAAGTGAACAAAGAAGCACACGTCGAATCGTCGAACTGTAATTAGCTATCGAAATTAATATTGCAAAGTACTCCGTCGACGAATGGACCGCGTGGCCGAGATCTCACTGCGTTTAACTTTGCTCGTATCTGGTGGCGAAAATTATCGATCGTCGTAAGGTGAAATCCGTGGATCCACTAACCGTGAGCATCGACGGCGCATCGTGACGGATGACAATACCCCGTCCAGCGGGAATCCTCCGTGAAATAGTCTCCTGTATCCCGGTAATTCACCGACCGAGTCCTCGGAACGAAAAGACACTGATTCTCCAAGGTCCTCGCGAAAGGACGAGCGCGATCAACTCACGAGAGAAAACTGACCGAAAGAAGCGCGGAACACGGAGAGAGAACCGACCCCCGATACGAGCTGCTTTCGGCCGTCGAGAAGGACAGAGGGAGCGAGAGAGGGGAGGGGGACCGGTGTAAGAGGAAAGAGGAGAGCGAGAGGCTGCAGAGTGGAAGGCCCGAAGAGGAAAGAGGGGCGAAAAGTAACGAGAGGGTGGAGAACCAAAAGGGAAGAGAACGAGACGACGAAAAGGGAAGGGAGAGCGAAATGGTGGGGACTTGTTACTCATTCATACTCAAACGCCCCCGCAAATTGCAGACACCGTCTCCGATGCTCCTTTTCTACGCTCGAATTGCGTCCAATGCTGCTTGATTAACGAATTTGCCGCACTCGACTTCATCTTGGCCGTTTCGTTAACGCGAAGGGACACGAGAGATAACACGCAACGAGAGAATTATTCTTCGGGCTTTATCGGGAAATCTCTGCTTGTCTGGATCCTCCGCGATCACGAGTTTGGTGACTAAAAATTACTATCCGATTCCATCGATTACGTCAATCCATTTTGTTATGCAGGCTACAGACTCTTGGAATCACCGGAAGTTGCCTGGCTTCATTACCAATCGAATAAAGGTAGTACAGTTTGATGATACGTGCTCCAAAAATACTTGGACTCCTACTTTTCGATTTGTTTATAAATTTTATTTCATAAGTCTTTATCGTTCACGTTGAATAAAGTACTTTTCGACAATGCTAGATAAATCCTGACGACAAAGTAGACTTTTAAGATGGCCTCTGCACAACGCTATCGAGTTCCCAACAACGCGTAACATTATTAAAGGAGAAAGTATGAATTTCAGGCTTTTGACGACACGGCGGACTTTTAAAATTCTTCCTTGCACGGTATCAATTTTCCAATTACGAGCAACATGATTAAAATAGATACTAAATAGACCGAACGGGAAACACACGAGCCACAGGTTGAAATTAAACAAGATCCAAAACGACTAAAAGTGTGCCGCGAGCGCGCTATTAGAGGCGAACTGTGTTTCCACGAAAATCAGTGGACCTGATTAGCGTACGATCGTTAACGTCCGTTTGTTAATTAATGCACGGCGCGGTCGCGCGAACAATACGCGTCAAACGCACGATTCGATTTCGACAGGCCGGATAATGCGACCAGGCAGATCGACGATCGACGCGCCAACACGCGCCTTTTATTAATCCCGATTTTGTTAATTGCGCCACGTTGCTGGATCGCGGCGATCGAAGTAATTAAAATGACATCGGGCACAGGTGCGTCGCGAACGATCCCGTTTCGTCACGATTCGCCTACTGGAATCGATGCTAACGCTAATGCGGGAACGTGTACAGATAGCCATCGATGGATATTCACCTATAAATTGGATCTTTGCCAAATTATTTCATAACCACTCGTTTTATCGAAACATCGTCGATTAAAATTCAACCATCACGTCCAGTTCCTATTATTTTATCGAGCACCGGGCCCAAGGGTTGGCGAAAAGGAGGAACGTTATGCAAAAATAGACGAGCCTCCTTTCCCCGTATGAATCACTTTGGTGCAACGCGTCTTTAAAAATACATTTCTTCCACTCGCGCTTGGATTTTTTCCTGGGACGATGCTTATAGTCGAAAAGAATATCTACTAAGATCTCGATTTGAGAAACAATGCGAATTACTAGAAAAATAACTAGAAATAAGAAGAAAATGGCGAAGGATACGACGAAACACCAAAGTATCGCGGTATTTTGTCGCTGAAGTAGCAACGCGTCGCAGTGTTAGCGTATTGCAATAACGTCGATAAGTCCATATGTTACTTTACAAAGCCGTACCGATCGAAATCCAATACATATTTGTTAGCAACGCGTCTATCGCGTACGCGTTAATTCCTTGCTGGTACTTCCTGTTATATGGTTCGCGAAATTACGGAATCCCGGATTATTAGCGATTCAAACGTCGAAAATACACCGCGCTCCGTGGTTTCGATCCCGTCTACCGATCCCATTGACGGATTCGCTCGACGACAAATCATGCTGCACGTGCGACAAACTGATAGCGGTGCCATTTTTCGTAATTCCTGCGATTCCAAAGCCACCGGTGGCAGATTAGCGTTAACGATGCACGCTCGCGCGATTGCATTCAATTAATTGCTGTACGTCGATCCGCCTACCCTATTGCGACGATTTTGTCGGTATCATTGATTCGATCGTTATTGGGCCAATTATTAGATTACGAAGTACGAAACGTTTCTCGTTACGACCCATCGAGCCACGATTTTATCCAACCGGATGGACGTCAAATTTTTAATCGTAGAATCTTAAAAAAGATCCACCGAGTCCGGAATATTGTAAAGATAGAATTTTAAATCGTCTGATTCGAATAGCATTGCGATCGAGGAAAACATGTATTTCTTTTTACGAAGAAAAAATAATCTCTGTCTCCCAGGTAGGATATTTTTCCATCTCGAAGTGGAGACAAAATTATAACAACGTTACTCGACGCGTCCAGTCTCTTCGTCTGGTAAACGAACAACAATATTGTTGCAACTTTATACGCTTTTATTGTGCGGTTGTCGCTGGACTTGAAGAGAACAAAATCCATTTTCTCTGTAAACAATCTTTCCGGAGCTGCCCAGGCAAAGATCGGGGTCGATGAACCAAGACACGTAGGTAGATATATTGTCAAGCATTACATATAAGTATGCAGACGCTTTGATCGATGGGATCGAACGTCGTTGGATTTCATAATGAATAAGTGCAACGACGTGTAGCATTGTGCATTCAATGGATTTGTTTACATAGAGCTAGTATAATAATTTGAAATCGTTACATAATACATACAGTCTACGTACGTTGCATCTTGAACGATTTGCAAATTCTACTGGAACCATTCAGAAAGTTAAAAATACCTCGAAAAATATGCGTGGACTACGTTTTATGTGCGACAGAAGGAACGCTTGGTTCATCGCGTAACGAATGTTTTAGTCACGTTCGATCGGATAATATTTAACGGGCTATTAACGTCACGAAATATTCTGTCGATTCTCCATCGTGTATCTCGATCTTCGTATTACGAAACAAAAAGTTCCTGTCTGTATACAACGGCGATGTCGTACGGATAGATTGTATATACATCGAAAGAGAAATTGGTCGTGTTCAAATAAACAAACATTTCTAAAAGGGAACCTCTAAACAAACTCGATCTTGTTCGTAAATTCCATGGAAGCGGCGGGACTCCTGATTTATTTAAATAGCGAGTAGATATTTTAGCGGAGACTACGCTACGGGTTTAACGTTTGTAACTTTGTTAAAGCATCTAATTTCGGGACCCTTTTGACAGTGTCAAATCCATTTTTTAAATTTGATACGATTATTTCTATTCTCGTACTTCTTGGATCTACGAATTAATTTTGAATCCAATTGTTAAACAGCATTTCACTTTCAGGTATAAATACTTCCCAAAATCTTTTTTAAACTTTATTTATAGAAAAAGAAAGTTTGATTCGAATCGGTTGAGAACTTTAAACGAAGTATATTTCTATTAAAATCTTTCACGAATCGTTTTCGAAAGGAGAATCTGTGAACGTCGAGTCGGTTAGCTCCTAATCAGTCCGTTAGGTCACTTTTTCCAAGGGAAGGACACGTGTCCTGTTTCGCTGCGGAGGGGTGGGCGTCAAAGGAAGCAGCTAGTGACCTCGAGAAGCATCGTTTCTATTTAGGACACTCGATAGACGATAACCATGCTCCAGGATGCGGCCTGATAGAAAGCGGCGCGTGCGATTTAATTCCATTGAGATAGATGGTCATTCATATTCACGATATAGTTCGTTCGAACGAACGGTGTCGGAAATAAATTTGCCTAAAATCATAATTTCCTAAATCTCTCGATTCGCCAAATATCGAATTCGAAGCAGCGTTATCACGTTCATTGGCAGACGAAACCCGTGCAATTTTCTGCAAGACTAAAATTTTGATTTTAAACCATTGTAAACTGCATAACTTAAAAGTTTCGGTATTTATTTTTGTAAGATGGCTAAAATTCGCGAATCCTATCCAAATTTTTCCCCTCGACATCTCAAGTTGACGATTAATTTTTCTAATTTCACAGTGAAACACGTTTGTACAATGTTTCCCTATTTCACTCCTATAAATATTCTTGTCGCTCCAGGAAGCAGAAATCAACGATACATCAGCAGAGGGGCGCTATCTTCGTCGCAGGTTTAATTAATTTAGAGCTGATTAGGGGCATTTTTGGTTCGTTAATGTAATTGGGTCATTAGATAACGATTTCGAAACGTTGGCTGCCGCCGAAGTGGCTTCGAAACGGATGAATGGCGCTGATTATGTATGTACGCGAACAAAAAAGAGAGAATCGGCATTGTCTGGCATGCTATCGAGCGATACGTGTTATGAAACGATGACTGCACACGCGTTGGTTACGTTCAAACGATAATAAAAATTCAAAAATTAACTAAGAGCTCCGATCGTCTCGAAAATGGCCTACTGCTATAATATCGAAGAAGTGCCGCCCGACGATGTTCCGTGCGTCGAACACGACGTCAGACGAGCTAAAAAATTCCTCCAGAAGCACAGTCCAGAGTCGGGTGACAGCCTGTAAGTTGTCAAAATTCTACTAGCGAAATAACAACGTGACTTTTCGTCGAATTTCGAACGCTTCGACGGAAATAACGCATTGTTTAGTTTATCAGATGATCGATCGTCGGTCGCGTTTCCGAAGAGTCTCGCGAACGATCGCTTTGAAACTCTTCGCGAACTAGGAAATCATTTGCAGTAACTTCAAGGCATCGTTAACGCGGTTATCGAGGCAGAAACGTTTCGAAGTAGCAACCCACCGCCTCGATACTTGATTTAATTAAACACAAGAGGAGACAAACGTGGATAGCTAAACACGAAAGAATTCCTCAAAGTAATTTCTATTAGACCGACCTTTGTACGAAGAGGTTTAATGAAATGCAGACTAAAGAACGTTGTCTTCTTTTTGAAACGTTAATGTTTTGAATCTGTCCAATGTTCGAAATTAAATTCACGTCTTTTTTAATTGAAATTTTGTTAACCTTTTCGACTACGAACGTAGGTACGATCATTTGACTGAAGTGTTGGCCAAGATTCTCGCGGAAAGGCCGAAAAACGCTGTCGATATTTTCGAGGAGTACAGCAGGAAAGTGAAAGAGGAAAGATTCAAGACTCAGACCAATCATCTTCGAGATTTGTACGTTCCGCCGATACAGTACGAAGATGCGACGAAACTCGTAAAACTGTTCAAGGTGTAAAAGTATTATGCAGCGTTTAAAAGTAAAAAATTGTAAAATTCTTCGTAATCGTAGAACGTACAACAAGTCGACGAGAATGTGGAAGAAACACTGGGCGAGGAAGAGGAGGACGATGAGAAGAAGAAGAAACCAAACATGCTAGACCTTCTGTTTTACTTCGAACAAACCGACGTAGGATTGCCTCGCGGGGAAATGGTGATACTTAATTTATCTATACGACAACTAATGAACAGAGCTCCCATAGAGAACGTCAGGTATGCAATTAGAAATGTGTTTCCTGACGTGTCTTCTTTTTTACACTTTTGTATCGTAGATTCTGGGGCAAAATACATGGGAATCCAAAAAGTTATTACGTGGTGGAAGCTGATCTCAAATCGGAAGAACTGGACAGGAGATTGGAGGTAAAGAGCCTCGAGTTGAAATATTAAAACAAATTATTCTACGAAAATAAATACAAAGACTTATAAGTTACGTGGTTGATACTTACAGAAAATAGCGGAAGAAGAGGAAAGGAAACGCCAAGAGGAACAGGCGAAGAAGGAGGAAGCGGCAAGAGTCGCGGAAGAAACGGCTGCAACCGCGGAAAGGGAAGCTGCAGAGGACGAAACGGAAGATGCAGAAGCGAAAGAAGAGAAGGAAGAGGGTTTGAAGCTGGTTTTTCCACCCCTGCCTACACATTCGTGGAAACCACCGCCGGAAGTGCCCGCGGAAAGGATCGGAAGTGGCGTGAATGCCAAGGTACGATCGTACTTAAGCTTCCGCGAAATGTATAATTAACTAATGCAACCCGAGTGAAGGCATTCTTTGGGACGATGATTAAAATTAAGAGAGCGTCCTGGCGGTTCTGTGGCCTGAAATATGAAGTTGCTGGGTGTCGGTTTAATACGGGATGCTAAACACGAGATCGATGTTGTTCCAGGTGTATTTTGTATGCAACGAGCCCGGTTTGGACAAGTGGATCGAACTTCCGACGGTGACGCCGCAGCAGATACTAATTGCGCGACAGATTGTTCGTTGTTGCACGGGAAATTTGGAAACGCCGGTACGTGGACGGCTGATATCGTTGTTTCGCGAGGGGGGGAGGGGGGGAACGCGTAAAAAGCGGCAGTTTTTCGTCGTAGATTCATACGTTCCCGCCGTTCCCCGGCACCGAAAAAAATTATCTCCGCGCGCAAATAGCCAGAATTAGCGCGGCCACTCAGATCTCGCCGATTGGCTTTTTTACTTTCGGCGGTGAGGACGAGGAGGAGGAGCCGGGCGAGGAGCCGGAAGAAGGTAATTTCTCATGCCCTTTTCACCGACACTTTATCGCAACGGTTGCCAGCAAATATCGAGTCTCTAATAGCGAGGACCATTTAACGCCATCGTCGGAGACGAGGATGCAGAAAGGATTACCGAAAATAATTCTCAACGTTCGAGTTTCACGGGCCAAAGATGGAGAATAAAAGTCTTGTCTCGTTTGTTTCGTTGTACACGTAGGTGGAGTGCTGTCAGAGAATGCTCATTACGATCCTCTGCCTATCAAGGACCTGGTAGATCCCTCTATGTCAAATTGGTGTCATCATACACAGTACATTCTGAAGCAGGGACGCACTGTTTGGTGGAATCCAGCTAAAGAGGACGAGGAAGTTAGTTGAATATTAATAAACAACGAACAAAATCTTTGGATCATTTTGATTTAAGAATAATTCGATCGCTACGGTGATTCTAACTTGCTTAGAAGAAATAAATCTTGTACCATACAATCTTAAGTAAAAAGGGTATATTGCCAGTATCGTACGATAATTTAGTTCGAACAGTGTGTTATTGTGTATCAATTTATCATGATACGTTTAGGAAGAAATCGGAGAGGAAGAATTGGAGGACGAAGAAGAGGAAGCGAAAACAGGTGTTCAAAGGGAGGTGGGACCACCCCTTCTGACACCCCTGTCGGAAGATGCTATCGTTGACACGATAATTCCTTGGACGGTCAGACAGTCTTCTCGCGTATTACCAGATTTGGCAGTAGCGTTGGTTAGATCGAATACTTGGCCAGGAGCGTTCGCGTTCGCCTGTGGAAGGTGCGTGCGCCCTTTGCTCATGTTCGATAATGATTTTCTATTAAACGGACGTATCTGCAATATTTATGTGACCGTCGGATATAAATTTACCCGAGATATCGAAGAAACGGTCCGATCGCCTGGGACCTGTTATCACGGAACGAGAATCAACCGGGAAAGGAGAAATTATGGCGCGTTAAAGGGAAATTAATGCGCGGGAAATTACGCTAATGTTACTTTAATGGTGTCGACCTGTAGGCGTATCGATAATGTGTACATCGGCTGGGGCCACAAATACAACGCGTACAACTATAGTCCACCGTCTATGCCACCTGTGCAGGATCAGTACAAATTAGGACCAGAGATCATGGAAATTCAGGATCCGACCTTCGAGCAGGAAGAGGCCTATCGCATTGCTAATTTACCACCCCCGCCTCCTATACCAATGGGTAAATACAAAAACCCGTTGTCCACGTTGTGGAAGATAAGATGATTTGCGTTTGTAGGAGAAGAAGAGGACGAAATGATCGAAGAGGAAGAAGAAGAGGAAGAAGATGACGAATGATCGAGATTTCTGTATTACCGCGAGAGTAGATATTCTCGATTATTGATACTCTCTAGGTACAACCTCACGTTTATCAAACGAGTTAATAGGCATTTCAATTTATATCGAATTAAAAAAAATATTATTAGACCAAAAGATGTACGTACCATTTTACAATTGAGTTTCGCGTTTAATGTCACAGCACAGACGAGGTATACGAGTAGACCTTTCACTACAGACGAGGTATATGAATAGACCTTTCACCACAGACGAGATATATACCTCGTCTGTGCTTTCGCGGCCGAATCTGACTGCCATACCGACCTGAAAATTCGGAGGTGATTTTAGCGGCCTCTTCTCATGGATGGCGGTCAGTTGAGAAACTAGGCACTGAATTAGGATTGATGGGCAGCCAGCTGTAGTGTATGCGTAAATAAATGTGAGATGACTATGGGAGGGCTTGAAAAAGACAGTGCAGTATTACCAGACGGCAGACCCGTGCCCAAAGGGAACTGCCCCTCTACTTACACTCGCTAATGGCAACCACCTTATACAATGAGTTCTGGCGTTTCGTACAGCTTCGTGGATTCGAGAAAGGCGACGAATGTGAGACTATCCTTCTTGCTCTCAACACAACAGAAATTAAATCTCCCATAATATCGAGCCAAGATTTTCGACTGCCCAGCCATTTTTTACTTTCCGACCTATGTAGGCGTATATAAGAAAAAACCATAATGAAACAAAAATTTCAAAAAACCTCAACAGTGGATAGGATTTCAGGGGTATTTTTGCTCCTAATATGATTGTGCTTGACCACCGCAAGCAATAATACTTGTTTCAGAAGAAATTGAAATTTTTTTTTTTTCGTCGAAAATCTCTGGCACCCCCCCTTCCCTTTTTTTCGAAAAATTCGATTTTCACTTTTGACAAATTTACTCGACGATTTACAGATAAATAGTCTAATACGTGTCTGTAGGTACCCCTGGGACGTATTTCAAGCCCTGTTTCAAAAAATAATTGGAATAAAATAACATTTAATTTGATCAAAAATTCAACACCTTTTGGAATTTGTTTCTCGACTCTGGGAAGGATTTTGAGGGTATTTTTGCTCCTAATATGACTGTAATTGACCCCCGCAAGCAAATATACTTGTTTCAGAAGAAATTGAAATTTTTTTTTTTTCGTCGAAAATCTCTGGCACCCCCCCTTCCCTTTTTTTCGAAAAATTCGATTTTCACTTTTGACAAATTTACTCGACGATTTACAGATAAATAGTCTAATACGTGTCTGTAGGTACCCATGGGACGTATTTCAAGCTCTGTTTCAAAAAATAATTGGAATAAAATAACATTTAATTTGATCAAAAATTTCAATACCTTTTGGAATTTGTTTCTCGACCGTGGGTAGGATTCTTAAATAACAATATAAGCAATCGCGTATGGAATTCGCAACGCTACCCTGAAAAGCAAACGCGAAAAATAACAATTCGCAACTCTAAAAGCAAACGCGATTATTGGATATTCGCAACTCTATGTATATCATAACCCCGAGTTATGGGGAGGGATGGCTGGCATGTATGGTGCAATCATGTACCATCAGGTACATGCATATGTGAGCGAGTCAGAAAAATAAACTAACTACAACTACAGACGAGTTAAGTGACAAAGTAGTAACAGGAATGACTTTCCATTCTCATCCGGGGATGAAGATGAAAAGCCATTTGTTGCAGCCCACTCTTGAGACAGTTTGTCAGGGCCTCTTCGGCTCATTGAGAGCCTTTTCTTTCTTCGGCGGTCCTGCCGATGCCTGAAACTTACGAAAGACCGGGCTCGAGATTTTGTGCAATACGTAGTCTTCCAACAATATACGAATTGTTGCAAGAGCATACGTGGTGAATCTCGAGGGGGCGAACGTTTCGAAAGGGGCCTAATCACGACCGCGAGCGCGAGAGAGCGACTTTAAGAGTCGCGCGATTCGAAGAGTCGAAAATAAAGCCGAAACAAACAGCACAAGTGCACCGTTTGAAACAGCAAGATTTCTACTCTCGAAATCGTAACTACAGGAACAGAACTGCCACGCGAAAACGCGCCTACCCGAATTACTAATGTGGACAGTCCTGCCCTGACCCTACCTACTTAGATTAAGCACACACACCAGAGAATAGGTTACCTACCTACCTAACCCTATATTTAAAAAATTGCAAAACTCAATCATTCAAACAAACACTCCACGGTTCTCATTCTGAATGTCCGGGCGCGACCTAAACTAGAGAGGACTTCCCGGGGTTCCTCCGACACCCGGGCACAACCTCATTCATACTCTAATTGTGTACGTACCAGTTTTTGCAGTGGACTGACAAAGCTAGTGCTCATTGCGTACTTTTATTATTTATGTAAAACATTTTAATATATCTGATATAGTCTTTATTAAAATATACTCTATACATATATGATTATATAAAATTGAAAAGCTAATTCATTATGCATTTTACAATATTATCGACGTGTATGCAATACGAACAATTGCCAAGTAAATAATAAGTATAGGTTTAATATTATTATTGTGATTGTTATGAATCTAATGTCAAAAAATTCTGTATCTGAATTGTGATGAACTTTTGATACGATGCACTTCCACAACCTAACCACAAACACACATATGTGGACAGTACATCGTGCACGAGACACTAGCATTGTCAGTCGCACAGATAAATTATTATTATAAATGTTACAAACTAAGTCATCGTGCCCCGTTGCCTTCGCTCGTGCAAATAACACATGGGCATGTGCATGAACTTAGGCAACGAACACGGGAAAGTATCCTGAAAATCCTGACTAGAACAACTGGTTATTAATAATTAACTAAACGGTATCTATTCTCAGTTAAAATGACTCGACTTGTTATATGTAATATATCAACAACAGAGTACGTTAATATTGAAAGATATTATTATTCAAGAAAAATTTGTGACTGAAATTTAATTGTTCAAAATGTAAGACTTTAATAAAGATTTCATGATAAAATAATTTACTTTGCAAATTGAAATAAATTTGTTAAATTATTATTCAAAATATTAAATTAACCTTGGTCGATTCTGTCGTCAAAGTAAATTTAAAAAAAAATAAAATTAACATGCATGTTCCTTTGAGTTGAAAATCGACTAGTCGCGAAACGCCTTCTTGCACATAAAATACATCATATGATGTATTAATTAATAAAACAAATATTTAATAATTATATTAATGATGTAAGATATTTTACTCAATCATACGATTAATATAATGTTTTCACATTATATTAATTCATATTCTACTCAATTATATAATTCATATAAAGATAATAAACATATTTCATATATTTTATCAAAATTGTGTAATAATCATATTGTATAATATTTATTGATAACATTAAAAAACGCGAGTGCAAGAAGACCCTAGCCTGCACTAAAAAAATATAACTCATGGGTATTTTTCATACCCGCGGTCACTTAACTCGTCAAAAATACTAAGTATACAACTGGTCACCCGTGTTGATTCGGATCTTTCATCCTACAACATGGTTGGGGACCAGAGGAAACAAAATAACATGCGACTCACCAACTGTAGAATTCAAGCACCCGGGCGACGATGTTGCCTAGTAGGAGTCATCAGCGAAGTCATCAGCGACGTTAGAAACGAAGTCAGCATCAAGGTCAGCAGCGAGATCATCGTCGAGTTTCTCTGGATCCACAAGTACGATGATGAGATGTCAGGATCCTTTAGAAAGAAAGAGTAAATGCTTTTACTAAAAGGTTTCTACCGTATTTGAAAACTTGATGGCAAATTTAGATCAAACAATTTTTTTTAAGCGCACTCGGAACAAAATACGAAGAATACTTACATTTTCCGCACGTGGGCATCGCCAAATACTCTTTTTCGTATAGATACAGGTTTCCTGTCGAAACGTGTTCACAAACTCTCAAAGCATTATGGCGTCGCGTATATAGCGTGACCGTAGTTTGACGGCAGTTGAGAGTCTCATGTGGTTGAATTGTAATTACGAGCTGCCACAGAAATAAAACACAAATTTGGTAACAGACACTTATTAATATTGGATAAATGCATCGATGGATAATGACGAAAAGAAGAGAACCGGTTAAAAATGAAAAATACGTTTGACCGTAGTTGAGCGTCCCATGTGTTTGAATTGTAATTACGGGCAATTACAGAAATGAAACACAAATTTGTTAATATGCACTTATTAATATTGTATAATTGCATCGATGGAGAATGACGAGGAGAATAGAAATGGTTAAAAATAAAAAATACGTACCTAATTAGACACGAAGCTGTCAACGCACTTCTCACACCACTTTCCAGACGAAGAATGACGAACAGGATCGGACACGTCTCTCGCGCGAGGAGTGGGGAGAGGGGTGGGAAGTGGGGTGAGGGAGTCACGTAGTCCGTCTCGACTCTTGATGTGTATCTTCGAAATAAAAGTTAAACCTTATATCTCGAAGAACTGAAAATAAATAAAATTAAGACATGATGTAAATAAAATTAATATAAAAAGATATGAAACAAACAATTAATTAATGATTTATAATCTTTATACTCCTGTGACGTGACAATGAGCAGCATCCGACTTTCGATTATTCGATAGATTCAATAGTGTCTCTTAAAGATGAAATATCGATATACATAGGGAACTCATTTTATCGAAATATGTACTAATTAATATGTAAATATATTCGTTTTTAATTGAAATTTTAATAAATGCTTTTCATATGTATAAAATATACAAATATATTAATTTTTCACGATGTTTTTCTTTTGCGTCATAGGACTCCCACTGAATACTGTTCCTGTCTGTTACTCGTCTGTACCTATTTCTAGTGTATTCTATAATATTCTTTAAAAATAATTTTATTCTTACCATTGTTAGCATTCCTAAGCCAAGGATAATGATGCGATACGTTTCTTATCTTGTAAAAGCTCGGTCAGGTTGTGTTTACATTCTCGGACGCCGGCCTCTCGACT